ATAAAAATAAAAGTTTGAATAATTTTTTATAAAAAAATGTTAAACATAACCTAATCTAACCTAACCTAAACCTTTCTTGGAGATCAATTTGAGAAATTGTTATTGAGTAGAGAATTATTATTAACTAGAAACAACTGTGAGTATTGTTTTTTCTATACAGAAGAAACATCATAATAACATTACTTATGAGTTAAGGAAACAACACTTTCACTACGGACATCTTCGAAAAACAATCGTATGGTACGACTGAAAGCAGGGCCGCCCTCTACCATAAAGCGCATTAAGCGTAAGCTGGGGCCACATTTTAAAACTTTACTCATCACAAACAACAATATAAAAAACAGCCTAGTTATAGTTGCAAAATAAAATACTTATTTTCAATAAATTAAAAAAAAAATGTATATGAATATGATTAACTAAAACAGACTTATTCTTTCTCGTAATTATCTTACGCCTAGGGTTTCCAAAAGTATAAAGGCGACCCTGGCTGTAAGGTAACGTATACAATTGCGCTAGCAACGCTTCTACAAGTTTATATACTAGATTCTCTACTTTAAATAAAGGCAAATAATATTGTTGTCATATAAATAAGTTTGTATTAGAGTTCTTACTGCTATTCAGATTTATGGATATACGAATCCGAGTATTCGGATAGCTGCTCAATTTATACCCGAGTATCCAGGTATGTATATCGAGGATTTACTCCAGGTAACTCTACATTACCCTCAGTCGGGGGGAAAAAAAATACTCGCGTGATTTGGATTCGAATATCCGGATACATCCGTATTACCCTCTTGATGAGTCTATCGGTATATACTAACTATCAGTGGGAACAGTCTCCTGTACGTATTAATTTTCGCATTCTTTAATCTTAATCCTTTACTTAAACTTGCTTTCTTTAATCTAAACTCAGATAAGAGAAGCTTCATATTTGGGTAATTAAATTCGGATACACGAATACTCGGATACAAGTCCAGATACTTGAACACTCCAACTCGGATTTCGACACCAAATTCGGATTATAACGAGCATTTCGAGTTACTCGGATATTCGGCTAGTAAAAGCTCTAGTTTATATAATTAAAACTATTATTATAGTAAAATTTCCATTGTATGCTTAATACTTCTAAGTATAAGCCCTATGTTTCGCGTGTGTACGATAGCATACAGTGATCGCTTCGTTGTTAGTGACTACAGTCAAAAAGCATGAATTACTTGACAGTCTGTTCTAATCACTATTATTTTTACTAAATATTATTACTGATTCACTCTCGCTGTCGAAAATCTTTCTAATTATTCAATAAATTATTTTAATTTACCCCCAAGAAGATGCATCGGCGTCTAAGTCGTTCACATTGTTAGGCGCTTCAGCTTCTACACGTGCAGGTTCTGAAGGATCCTCCAAGCAGGCCACCAGGACCACCATTAAAAGAAGAATAACCTACGTGTATTTTATTATATCAATTTTTATATACATTGTGTGTGTGTGTGTGTGAGGGAGAGAGAATTTTGCAAGTAAACTCGAATGTGTAAATAATTGCAGTAAACATGATAGATTATTTACTCACCAAGTGCACCGGTCGCGGCATTCTGAGAACTGAGATCACATCGGTCAGGACCGGGTTTATATATGTCTTCAAGCACAAAAAATCATGTAGAAGTTTTGAAACCACACGAGGATGAGGATAATAAAAAATAAATGATAAACGAACGCAATTTAAAAATTTTGAATATCTTTTTCGATAAGTTATAGTAAAAGTAGCCTAAATAATTTAAACATTTTCTTTTTCTTTTAAATAAAAGTTTCTCAACTTAACAATACCTCACTGCGTTAAAGAGATGCTTATTGTCGTTAGTCAAGAATAAGTTATACAGTAATTCTTTAGTATTACATTTCTTTAAGTTTTTTACTATAATTAAAGTAGCTGCGGATTTTTATATAATTAACCATTTCATTAAACAAAGGGGACACTTCTGAATACAAAATATGATTACAGCTAGCTGATTACATTCTGACTATTTAATCATAGCAATTGTATTACACAATTTTCATTGATAACATATACAAACAAATAAATATGAATACAACTATTTATAAATATGCATATATAAATAAAATTTAAAGCAAATAGTATACAAGAAAACGTGAACTGTATATATCAAAGGATAATTGTCAAATGTTGTTTGATGTGATATTTTTTTCAATTAATTTTAAACAAAGATAGGGTCGATATATTTAAGCGAATACGTGCCAGTTTTCAAGGTAGGCTGGTTACATTCCAGTTCTCTTCAAGCAGGACTTGCTTGTTTTTTTAAAGGAAGAGGGTAAATATATCTACGGTCTTTTTGTCAGTATAAATATATTCACAAAGAGACGTCATCAATATGATTTTTTATAAACTATATCTTGTATTGCGTGTTTTTTTACTGTGAATATTTAAATGTTGAAATCCATTTCAGAAAGTCAAAGGAAAATAAACGAAATACTTGGAAATGGTACAGAAAATGGTACAAGTATATAACAATTATACGCAGAAAAAGACGATTTTAACAGATTATTTTCAAATAATCTTCACTTTTAAAATGATCTTGAAATTGCCACTGAAAGCGTGAAATTGTTAATTACAAATAAAGATCAGATTCTTAGCATTTCAATATTGTCTAGAACGCTATACATAGAAACCTTTGAAATTGTATAGAGACCTTCCATATCTTACAATTAGTTTATTTAATTCGAAATAGCATTTCATTGTCTTTTTATCAATAACGTGAATCAGCTAGTTTCCATCCTTCAACACTAAATATCATGAAAAATGTAGATCTTTTGTCAGATGTAGATAGTGATATCGATTCATTATTGAATAACAATGGTGAAGAGTCAAATAGTGAAAGTGATACAGTAATGAAACGATTGAGAAATCTACAATGACCAGTAAGTACTGATTCAAGTGATGGTGAAAATAGTTCTTCCGATGATAGTAAACGGTCGCAAACTGATTAGACTCCCGATTTACATAACTGTATTGAACAATCAGGAATACAAATACCAAAATTCGATTTCATTAGTATCTGCGTGTATTAAGTATTATAATTCATAGTAAGAGTAGTTATTCATGTCGTATTCGCAGCAGTGTATTTCCTTGATGAATGACGATGTAATTCCTCAAAAAATAATAATTAATACGCACAAAGTGCGTCCTGCACAAGGAAAAATAATATCGTTGAAGGTGAAAACTGCGACGTTCCTTTCTTGGTATTAATATTCAGTTTTCAAAGAGTGATGAACAACGCACTCGAACATTAGGTGTTATCGTAATTATTTGAAAGTCAGACTGCTGAATGTTTAATAGGTACAATTACAAACTAGTGCGGATTTGGTGAAACAATCATGGATCGACACAGCTACATATTGTATGTGCTGAAGACAGTAATGGTTTTAAGTGAAGAAGACGACTGTAATAATTACGAAGGCAGTACAGATACAAGGGCAGAATTAAAATTGCTCTAAACTTGAATAGATCCAGAAAACACACATGTTGAAAATATGTACAAATGTTAGTTATTTCCGAATTTGTAAAGGAAACAGATTTTACAATTATGATAATCGGATATGTTCCACTCAACTAATCATTTATGATTAAGAAAAGAAAAGATCTCAGAAATAGTGGAAAGTCAACGAAGAATAAATTTTCGAACAGAGCCGACGACGGAGATTTAAAATTATTAGAAAAAACGTGAGACAAAATTTCTGTATTGATTTGTATTTTAAGACCTGCTTATACTGCAACAAAACAAACTGATTCTATTATTGAAGCCGCCCACAAGTAGTAAACTTATTGTGGTAAACAATATGGGAAACAAAGAAACGAAGCTACTTCAAATGAAGTAGTTTCATTATCGATCTCCGATATAATATCATATTAATAGAACGAATGATTTATGTAGCTAGAAATTAGTTTCTAAATACATACAGCAGAATGCGAAATATACCAAGATCATGTATCCAGTGCAAATAATAATACTATAAGTGAATAGGTGTCCTGCATCTCAAAGAAATACAAGTTTGAAGGATTATTGAAGGATGCAGAAAGATGCATAAATCACTAAGAAGTGCGTCACAGAATCAACATTGAAAGAAGTAAAATCGACGAATATCTCCGCTAAAAAAATTCTTCATATATTTCAGCTTATTAGAATACAACGAAGAATAAAGTGACAAGAAATAGATTTATAAAAGATTTATAGAAATTGGCGCAGGTAGTTCTATCAGTTTCATCAACGCAAACGAGTGTGGAACGATTCTTTTCGGTATTAAAGTTTCACAAAAATCGGAGATTTACACTTGAGGGCTCTCTCTTTTCAGATAATGATGAATTTTCATATGTGAACACTCTATTAGTTAATGAAACATTCCTCAAAAAGAAGAAAAGATATTTTACTTTTCTCAACAATATATTAAGTACTCAAGACAAATACAATTAAATGTATACAACTTAAGTGTATTGTCTAAATTGACGTTTACCAGACTGTATAATGCACATACTAATAAGTAATATATAAAATCATACAGATTATAGTATGTCTATGGTTGAGAAACCCATTCAGGCCAATCTTGAATCTGACTATAAAGCTCGAATCCAGGACTTGCAGTGTTTCCCACTTGTTTAGCACCAATTACACGAACATTTTCTCTAAGTATTCCTTGCGATTTGCCACAGAGAATTAATTTATGTGCAGCATCCAGCATTTTATCACTAGCAGCTTGTTCTGCATGAAAAATCGTTAAATTTAAAATAAATTAATTTGAATTAGAAATACAATTGTTAAGCAAAAAAGATGTGTGATAAAACGTGAAGGAAATTAGACGGATGTCATTTAAGTGTGATACGAAATACCTTGAAAATTTCCGATAAAAGCAATTCCCACAGATTTTTTATTATATCCGTATGCAGGGGCTCCTTCTCGTTCCCAGCCACAACCTTCATATACATTTCCATCTCCTCCAATTAAAAATCTATTAAATAAAAATATTAAATAAGAAACACAAAAGAGAGATTAGTCGATTCACATGATTATAATTTTTGATATTTTGATATAATTGAATGAAAAATTTCTAAATACAGTAACAAAATCAGAAAATAAAGAACAAAGTAATGAAAGACAAAAGTAGGTACACTTAAATGTGTTTACAAGTAAAACACTGCAGATAAGTTTTGATATGTTTAAGAGAGTTTGGATCTTGGTTTACGATTTGAAAATAAAATTAATTTTTCTTTCTTACACTTTCCTTAATATGGAAGGCATATTTCGGAAATAACAGACAGAACTTCGAAAAATTCAAGAGGATATAAAATGTAAGTGCGCACACGCAGAACATAAAATCCAAGGGTCTTCGGCAATAGTTGCAGTTCGGTATTTTCTTTCAGCAAGAAAACTTAACGAGTGATTCTACAAGTTAAAATAAGACGCAAATCAAGAATAGCAGAATTGCATTTGAGGCTACGTTTATTAGTTATTAACATTTTAAAATATCCCCGTGGTCAAGCAAACCTCCCTACACCAACGAATGTAGGGTACGTCAAGACACGGGGGGTACAATGATGCTCGAAACTAACTATACATAGCCGGCAGCTTACCTCATACAAGTCACAGAGCAAATGTTAAATGTTTTCGTACAATATATTATGTGTGCCGATAATTTTGCGATGTAAAAATGCATAAGAAATTGTTATGCATTGAACACTACTACCTGTCATTACTTTCTTTTCATACATTTAATTTTAGTTTAATTTAATGAAATTATTTTTAATAAATTTAATTAAATCCTACACATTTTCGTGTATCATCAGAAATAAAGGAAATATGTTCTAGTTCTGTTGAAACACTCTTTATATGCCTTTTATTTAAATATACGTAAAAAGGTAAAAAATTTGAAATAGCTATTCTTAATGATATCTACCTTTCGATATTCTAAAGATTATCAAAATACCACATTAAATTAATGTTTCTACAAAAATGTATTAATCGACGGTATATTTAACGTAATAAGGTTTAAAAGATACTTAAGAGTATCCGATATCATGCCATCCGTTGGTATCCATATGATAAGATCGAATACTTTCGGCTATAGAAATACATGTTGTCCTAGTAGCACAGGTTGCAGTAACTGTATGATGAATTACGACATAAGGAAGAGGGACAATCAAGTAATTCACACTTTTTGCTCCCGTAATAGTCCATTGGCTCCGTTTGATAATTTTAGGACAATTTTCGTTTTCATCTACAAAATACAAATGTGACCTTCATTACTAACAAGAATTTAACTAAAAATATGGATGAAATCTATATATTTAAAATTGATTTAAAATAGATCAATATATAAAATAAATTTCTTCTTAAAAAATTATGCGATTTAATTTTCTTCTACAGAATCTATAAAGTGTCCATTGTGTTGTTAACTGTAATAAAAAT